GGGAAAGAGACTGAGATCAGGCATGGCTTAGTTAGATTATTACTGTCCAGTCCTCCATGTAGGAGGTGCCTATGCAGTAGAAAGGTAAAAATCTGGACACATTTTGGGGGAAAATCTATAGCTTTTGTAGATTTTAATGGTTAAGAGTCTGAATCCTTAAAGTTAGTCAAATTCTATTTTTTGTGAATCCCTGGATTAGTCATGAAGGGATAAGAAAGATAAGTCACAAATAAATCCTAGTTTTACTGCCTTTGATGGTTGCTTTAAATAATGATTGGTCTTAGTGACTGATAAGAAATGTAATTTCAGTAAATCAATAAAGTGACCAATAGCTTTAGATTTAGTTGAACCTAACCATGCTCCACTCAGAATAAATATTTTTTAAACAGACTTAAACCAGGTTGTATAACATAGGAAAGAAATTCATAACAAACAGCTACAGTGGAGACAAATCTAGAGTGAAAGTAGGGCACTCAGAAAAAGTGAAGAAGTGATTTGAGAAGAGATTAGGATCACAAGAAATAAAGACTTGATTGATCCCTGCCAGTACTTTGGATAAAAAGAAGCTGGTCCAATTGGGATGGACTAGGTTACAATGATCTTGGAAAGTATAACCAAGTCTCATCTTTCTGGTCCAAAATCATCTACTAACAACCATTATCTATAATTTCAGGCAGTCTGAGAAGAGAATGCTTACTTTTTATATTTCAAAAAGTTGTACCCCACCGGAAGATATAAGAATAAGTTCAAGGGGAAAAATTGGAACAGAATTAAAATTAACATTTTCAATTCTTTAAGTGCATAGTTAGATTTTGTCATCATTATAATAATATGTGTTTTGTCTACCTTCTAATGTGGTTACAGCATTTCATAAAGTCTGAAATTAGATTTGTGGGTAAATGTTTAAAATATTAACAAAGTTTGTAATTAATTGTGAATATTTGGATTAATTAGACATTAATAAATCAAAATGAATACACATGAATTTATGTAATATATAAATACTTAGAGAATATTGTTCAAGGTGAATAAATTGGATATAGAGACAGAAGAGATAGTAATGAATATTCCTCTTGATAATATAAGCCCCCTAGAACACTAGACTTGTTGAAACTCTCACCTATCTTAACATAGAAAAAAATGGGAAGTGAGGAAATGGAGCAGTTTTGGGGGATGGACTGTTTTGAAAAATGAGTTTGTTTTTATTCATGTAGGTTGAGATTAGGAAAGATATATACAGTGGGCATTAGAGGTGGAGAATATAGTTCAGGAGAGAAAATAGGGTGAGATAGAGTTACAGGAACAGTTGGGATGCTAAAAATAGATTAGATTTTTAAGGTTGTGAGTAGAGAGAGGATAACACTAGAGAATGTACATTCTTAGAATATAGGAAGAAGAAATAATCATAGTAATGTCTCAGAGAGGACTTTGTAGATTACAAGTGACAGAAAATCCCATCCAAATTGTCTTGAGAAAAAAAAAATTAACTTCCATAACCAAAAAGTTAGGTGAGTATAACTGGATTCAGTGTTCAAACAAAGACACTAGGATTGTGTTTCTTTCTTTGTTCTGCTTTGCATTTCCTCGTCTTGGCGTTATTCTCAGGCTTCACATAGTGGTCTCTGACACCTCCAGGCTCTCCCCTTGCCATGGTAAGGTGTTACAGTAACTCTAGCCTCAAATTTCCTAAACTTAAAGACCTGGGGGTTAAGAAGTGTCTTTCTTTCCCATCTTTTAGTTAAATAAAAGTTTCTCTTGGAGATCTCTAATTGACTTAAGCCTAGGTCTCATGCTAGCTCCATTGAAGCCATATGGCTAAGAGTGACGAAGTGGTGCTCCAAGAAGAAATTCTTTGTAGCTAGGAAAAGAGTGAATATATGCAGGGTGACAAAAACACCAATTTTCACTATAAATAGCTAACAATTATTAAGTTCTTACTATGTTTCAGGCACTCTACTGGACATCTGTAAGATGCCTTTTTTTTTTTTAACCTCATGTCTACTTTATCTCATTTAATCATCATAACCAACCTGTGAGGTAGGCATTATTAACCCCATTTTGTATATAGAAGAAAACAAAGTGCAGTATTTGGAAGATCTCTAGCTGAGAGTTTCAGTAAGAAGTGGGTCAAATGCAGCAGAAACTGCAAAGAGAATGAGAATGGTGATCTTACGAAAAAAAAACATTTTTAGGGTTTTTTTTTTTAATGCAGAAATGCATAAAGAAGAAAGCAAAATTGGGCCATAATCCTATCATTCAGATAATTCTATATTAAAAATATAAATGTATAGATAAAATATTATGAACATGATAAAAACTTCAAACAGTATAAAAACATATAAAATGAAAATTAAAAGCGTCCCTTCTCACCCTAGTGTCCCTAACCTCCGTTAAGTGTCTTGCATATCTCCCGAGAAAAATGTTTTAGTATCCAATAACTTGAATATATATTCCTCCCTTTTTTTTTTAACACAAAAGGGATTGAGTTATATAATACTGTTGTATACTTTGTTTTTGTCATTTAACATATTATAGACATCTTTCTGTATCAATACATATAGATTCATCTCATTTTTTAAATAGTTGTACAGCACTCTAGTTTATCACTTGAGTGTAAGTTTTTTCTATGCTAGTTGATGAATTAAAAGGATGAATTAAAGATGACTACTTATTTTTAAATTTGTGAATCACATGGTTTATTGGCTAGAATTTATTAGGCCGTCCTGCAAAAGGATTATAAATATAACCAATGTGAATAATGTTAAAGTATGGTTGGCAAGAGCTAGCTCTAATTATAGCTAAAATTGCAAGGAAATGTAAATACCACTGCATATATCAATACATACACTTCAGATACCTACAGGAAGTGGAGTGGCATGGAGGTTGGAGGTCTTTAGTAAGTGAACTATACTGCCATTCGTAAGCCTGTTCCATTGCTTGTTAGGTGTTTGAATAACCTGTCCCTGGAAATGGTGAACCTGCTGCTGCCTTCCCTGCCGTATAAGAGATCTCAGCTCTAGTCTACAAGTGGTTTTATGATGGGACCAATCTGAATAAAAGATCTGCTTCTCTCTCCTTCCTCTCTTTACTGGAAAAGAGACATAGGAGTCTAATCAGAGCTATCAGTTTGGAAAAT